ATGGTGAGCTAAGGGGGGCTGCGATTACCTCAGTTCCCATTGGGGGGTTATTGCCTTATACCTATCCACAGTGCTACAAACATACCAGTGCAAAGGACTTGTAAGAACTTGTCTCAAATGTTTTATTAGAATTTTACAAAACAGTATGAAATCCAACAAATAAATACTGAATAGAAAAGTAATATATATAAAAAATATATATACAAACAAGCCCAACCCTGTCGAGTATTTTACCTGAGGCCAGGCTTCTCTTTATGGCTACCCTCCGCTACATTAACCAAGTGTTGAGTCAGGAGCCTGACAGTGGGTGTATGATTATGAGAAGTCTTGATCTATGACTAAATGAATAGCTTTAAAAAAAACAAACACACCACCACAATTTAAACAGAGCTGTCCCTATGTCAGTCAGACCTGCACGTGGCAAATACGAGACATACCTTCCTGTTGTAAACTGCTGAGGACATACACTCAGTGCATATCCTTGTCTGTCCTTGCTTGAACCTGTCCTAAGTTGCAATGATTGTGAAGAAACTGGCTTCTGAAGTAACAAGCTTTCCTTCTGCAACCAAATTGTACAAAAAAGGAAGCCACCTAGCATTGCTGCTAGATTTTTCTAATGTTTATGGCAGCTGATGTAAATAATGTGTCTGCTAGTTTCTAGACAGACTGGTGGAGAGTGATCATTTCCCGCCTCTTTGAGAGGTGCCAAGTTAATAAAATACTTTATGGGAAAATAGATCATATTTGACTTACAGTTTGAGCAGAGGCAGATAATTCCAGTGAGAGAGGGATTTTAACTCAAGAGAGAGCCTGGTTCCATATTCTACGAGATCCTAGTTTTTATTCATCCAGCACTTGACAGTTCATCATGTGCTGAGAGACAGTGAGAAGAGGTTTTCCAGTCTACTTCATGTAGACAGCAAACTCTCCCCCACTGGAAATAAACCTGTACTGTCAGTCTGCAGCATGTGTGTAGCAGGGCAGAAGTAAACCACACACTGATAAACAACAAAACAAAAATCCTCTGTGGCTGTGAGGACAAATGTGATTCAG